CCCCAAAACCCCAAAACCCCAAAACCCCTTTAACTGGAAATCGGTTATATAGAGATAAAATTTTCTTAGTAATCAATACTATCTTAAAAATATTTAACTGTAATATACTAAATGGGAAACTGTGCAGGAAAGAAAAAGCCAACCGAATAAAAAACTACTGTCAATAAAAAGGCAGAGCCTACAAAATCAGAGAAATCTAAGTATGTCAGGCCATAGCAATTTGATCAGACTTTGAAGGATAGACAATTCTTAGCTAAGATACTTATGTATGATTTAAACTTAGACAAGAAGCCACAAATGTCTATAGCAAGAAGATTTGCTAGAGAGAATACTAACGATCAAGGTGATAACTTGAGAATGCAAATTTCAGAAATAGTATTTTTGGAACTAAAGAAATTCTTCTTCCTCTGTGCATTCGCTATCAACATGGATAGACCAAACTACGAATACACCTTCAACGGCAAAACTTATTTGAAAGCTCCATTCCCCGCTCCAATTTATCTTTAAAAAGCGCTCGAATTGCTAGTCCTTTACACTCAACATTACGATAAGTTCTGCAATGACATACTAGGAGCTTGGATGGACCTCTATGTACCCTATGAGGATACTCCCGAAGATAACAGATTGATGGAGTACCACTATTATGAGTTGCTTCTGAAGTGTTTGGACAAATTTGAAAATTTATTGGTGCCATTTAAAAATCTTTGGCCTAAATACTCTGATATCGAGATTTATTACAAAGATAGACTAGAAACCTAAGATGTTTGGGTTTCCTAGCAAACTAGAGAGAAGTATTAAAAGAAAGCTGAGGAAGGTGCCAAGCTTGCTTTAGCAAATGAAGATATGTCTCCCTAAATAATGGAAATGTAAGGCATGGGTCTTTCAAAGGAGGAATTAGCTAATTTAAAAAATAGACCGTTGTCTTCAAAGCTAAGTGATAATTGGGCTATAGTTTTAGGGGGCTTTGAAATTGATCTTGATAATGAATATGCTCTGGAAGAACCTGCAGACTATGAAGGCAAGGTAAAATCTTTAAAATTCTAGGAAGGCTTCACACATGAATTGAGAAGGACTGATGTCTCTGACGAAGATTTACAAAGCAAAATTGATATCCTTAACGATTACCAGTTTTCTTAGAAATTTATAGAAACTGTATCAAAAAAATATGAAATCAAGGGGGAAAAGAGAGTTAAACTCCACCTGAGTGAGTATAAGAAGTTTTTGCTACTTTGTTACATAACTAATAAGGAGGTTACTCCAAGTGAAAAAGTAGATTATATCTGGCATCATCATCAAACATACACTAGGGAATATAGAGAGCTTACAACCAAGATTTTCGGCAAGACCTTGAGTCATTTACCTACAATGGGAACAAAGAAAGACGGAGAAAGATTTGATGATTAATACAAATACACACTCTCATTGTACTAGGCTATGTTTGGAGAAAAGGAAAATTCAAGTGCTTGGGAATCCCCAGAAAACAGATTCAATCCAGAACTTTTTTCATTTTCAAATCTGAGTCTTGGCAAACTAGCTAACCTTCATCTACTCAAGCAATTTGTGGGGAAAAATCTAGTTTTAGAAATGAATGAGAAATCTGTAAAAGATCAGTCAGCCTCTAGAGCTGATAGATTCCTCTCAATAAGAAGAAAGAATTACGTCTAAAAAAGAAGAGAACTTAGATTGAAGCAAAAACTAGCCGTTAAAAATAAGGAAAAAAATGATTAACAGTACAATTTAATGCATATCACTGGTGGTCCACTCATATTACCACATTTCTCTGAATAAAGCTACTTCGATCAACCAAATTTATCACAGCGTATTCTTTCTGGATTTTATGCAGATCATGATTATTTTGATTAACTTGAGGTTAAGTAAAAACATTCAAATCTAGGAATTCTTGAATGTCTAGATAGATTACTAGATCTGGGTCTAGGTGACTTTGACGTTGAAGGGGATAACGATGATGACTACGAAATTGCACCTTTAAATGGGGAAATGAGAGTGGGTAAACTAGGTGATGGTTTACAAGATTTCGAAATCTAGAATTAAAGCCCAAACAAAGCATTAGCTGAAGAAGACTCTATTATAATACCTCAGGGAGATGAATTTGAATATCCAATAGTTGATGAAGAGGACGATATTGTTGAGCCATCAATATTTGATGAGGAGGAGCCAATTGGGAACCAGAATAAGCCTAACTAAACCAAAGACTTCAGAGGTATTAACAAGGTTATCATCAAGGAGGACTCACAAATTTGATTTATTAGAGACAAATAGAATATTAATAGTCGCATTGACTTGTGAAGTGAGATAAATTTGAGGAATCTATTTTTATTTAAGATCATTTAACTCTACAATTTACACCACAATTTCTCAATTTTATCAAATATTTTTATATAGTATCAAGGGGTTTTGGGGTTTTGGGGTTTTGGGG